CTTATAACCCGTAGTCCTGTTGTCTCCTATGGCTAGGTTATAAGGGAAGAGGGCCATTGACAACTTCCTAACCTCCGAAGAAGATGGGATTTGGACTAGGTTATTAGCAGGGCGCCCACACCTGACAGGAGGACGACTCGGGTCCTCAGCCAACGCCTTCGATTAAATGTACACCCGAAAGGCAGCGGGTCTAGCACATGGTCATTTCGCTGACTCATGCGGATTAGTGTCTGGCTCTTAGCTGGAAGAATGGTATAACCCGACTTCCATTCAGCGGTCTCCACGGGGAGGCGCCCAGGACATGAGCAAATGGCACAACAGTAGCAGCAGTGGGTAGACCATCAGTCAGGATCTAGCCACTGCAAGCCTCAGCGCACCATAGGCTCTCCCGCCTATACATGGGAGTGATAAACAATCGTGTAATGTTACTGAACTATGGTGCGATAGAGCGCGATATAGAGTGATCGGCCGATGGCACTTCGGCCGAGGTATCACTTCTAGAGAGCAAAGTGAATGAGCTTAAAGTCGTTGAAATATTGATCCATAACTTGTGTGGGTTTTGTACTTCCCGATTGTCCAGGCCAAGTAAGAGGGTTGACCTTCGTTCGTAATGCCCTGACCCGCAAGGCAGAGGGACGATTAATGTACATCGCAAACCGATTGGAACCGGTTACCACGGTGAGTAGCAACTAACCACGCCGGACGCCCAGGAGTCCGAGTGAAGCTGCGAGGGGGCCAAGAGCAACGTCCTGAACCGCCGAACTCGCTGACCAGCACCAACGCCGTCGACAGCCAGGTGGATTATACGCATTCGTATGGTCGAGTAGCCATCGAGCTTGTTCATTCGCCGGCCGTCTGATGCTCACTTCTGGATGCAGGAGTGAGTGGTCATTGATCGTATAGCCGGGTACCATGGTTTTGACACAACGGCTTCCGATCGTCTTAAAAGGAATCAGGTAACCAGCCCAGAACTCCTCACTGTTTGCAACGCTGCCACTGATTGTCCGCGACTGCTTATTCCTCGTGTTCGGGAATCCGGGATTTATTCATAGTTACCTTCGCACCAGCCAACTGACAAAGCCAGCTGTTCTGAATGCGTATCGAAGTACACTGACATGCGAGTTGAGTAATCGCTCACTGGAGAAAATTGATGGTCACTGGTCACATGTTCGCCAGACCTTACTAGCAGCAGGCAAATCCTCATGTGGTATGTCTAAAAGCCAACATGGTTATTGGGTCTCTTCTCGGTCTGTGGAACTTATCTACGCTCGCCGGCATATCCCGGCTGGAAGCGAGCACAATGAAACTCGCAAAGAGCTCCGGGCAAAACTCCGCGCTAGCCTAAAGAGAGACCGCGAATCTTGGTGGTCTGTTCGTGCGTCAGAGATGGAAGTGGCCGCTGCCATTGGCAACCATCGCAAAATTATTCCGTCTGATACGGGAAACAGGCAGCAGGAGACCTGGTGTTAGTGAAATTATACGTGATGAGAGTGGACAGCCTATCCACAATTTGTCAAAACATTTGGAGCGTTGGGCTGAGCATTTTGAAAAGCAATTTAATCAGCTAGAATTATTCGATTCTTTGCCGGCCAGTGATCGTCCTGCTCCGTGGGCTGTCCCTTTGGATCCACCCTCTCGTTCTGAAGTCGAACCTGAGATCAGACTGTTGAAGTTGAACAAAGCCGCGGGACCAGATGACCTTCCTCCAGCCCTCTTCAAATTCGGAACATCTGCTCTTGTTGATGCTTTACATGAATCACTAGTGAAACTGTGGGAGCAGGAGACTGTCACTACCTACTGGAGTCTCTCCGTTATCGTTCCCGTCTTCAAAGGCGGCTCGCGCTCGGAATGCAGCAACCATAGACTAGTCAGTCTGGTCTCCATCGCCTCCAAATTACTCGCCTCCATAATTCTTCACAGACTGACTTGCACTCGTGAAGGCCAGATAAGTGAACAGCAAGCCAGGTTTCGTCGTGGTCGTGGCTGCATCGACCACATCTTCACCTTGCGTCAGTTGTTGGAGCACCGCCACACATATTGGCGGCCCACCGTAGTCGTGTTCCTCGAGATCAAAGGTGCCTTCGATTCGGTTGATCGATGTGCCCTTTGGTATTGTCTACTCAGGAAAGGTGTGCCCGAGAAATATGTAAATATTATCCAAGCAATATATAGACGTACCACGGGCAGAGTGAGGGCTTACGGCAAGCTGTCGCCACCCTTTAATATCTCCAGCGGTGTGAGACAAGGATGCCAGCTGTCACCTTTCCTCTTCAACTTCGCTATTGACGAAGTCATGGAGTTTGCGTTTACAGGACATGACTTGGAAGGTGTGGAGCTACTCCCAGGAGAACGACTTCTTGACTTGGAGTATGCAGACGACATTGCTCTCATCTGTGACAGCTTCCAGACGTGACAAACCGCGCTGGATAGATTAGCATTGTCTGTCAGCCGCTTCCGGCTTTGCTTTGCACCATCGAAATGCAAAGCGTTCCTCCAAGGTTGGCAGGGATCGCCTCCTGCGCTGACCCTTTTGTGGGGATCAGCTAGAAGTCGTTCAGAAATTCAATTACCTGTGAAGTTGTATCAGCGCCCTTGGGATCGAAGACGAGATCACGAACCGTATAGCGAAAGCTCGAAGTGTTTTGCTAACCTACGCGACCTATGGCGGCGGCGCGACATCACTGTCACCCCGAAGGGTAGAGCGTACGGTGCAGCGGTACGTTCGACCCTACTGTACGATTGCGGAACCTGGCCCCTAAGGTCGGCGGACATGAAGAGGCTAGCTACGTTCGACCACCTGTGCCTTCGCAGTTTGGCTGACATCTGGTGGGAACACCGCGTGAGCAACGAGCGTGTTCGACGCATTGTTTACGGCCCAGGAAAAGGATCTGAACCGCTCAGCACCGTTATTTCACGCACCAGGCTCCGATGGCTGGGCCACGTGTTGCGCATGCCAGCCCACGGACTTCCGCGACGTGCGTTGTTTGCTCACCGGGGATGTAGATGGAAGAAGAGGAGGGGTAGCCAAGCAATGACTTGGTCCAGAGGAATGAAGTCCCTCACTTCGGAGCTACCCTCGGTTGGAGCGTCACGGCTCCCTGGTTGGGGTCCGAAAGACGGTGAACATGCTTGGCTGGATGCACTTGCTGACATGGCAAGGAGCCGACCTCAGTGGCGTTTGTGCTGTGAGTTTCTTTGTCTCTCCCCATCCCTTTTAGCCTCCCCTTCCATCTACGATCTCATTTCCTAGGGTACAACATATTAATTTTTTCTTTTTGCCTAGTAGCTGGCTGGAAGCTTACCGGAACGACGCCTATCTGTTGTTGGTAGCTCAGCTGGCATGCAACTGTTGTATCTATTTTTCCTTTGTGTATTGTATTATATGTATGTATGTATTTCCTTCATGTATTGTGGTACAATAGCGGAGGTGTTTTCCCACCTCTAGCTGATGTGTATAATGATGATGATGAGGATCTTCGCAAGGAAGCGTTCCGCGATCCTCAACCTGGAGACGTGACCGGTGGCGTATGGTTCTGCCGAACCAACCAGTGGTCGGTTCTCTTCCGGGTACCTTGGTCCCAACTCTCTTCCGTTAGTATAATCTTTGTTGTTACTTCGTGCCATGATCCCATTTGGAAGCAGCTTCAACGCTTTTGTGGCTCGAATCACGGACCAGACCGATTCTCACCGGTTCGTATGAACGGTTGCTCTGCAAGCTGGTCATGCGGCCTTGAGTTGTGCCTGTCTGGCTGCTCTGGTGTCTAACCTTGTGCGTTTACTTATCTAGTTCGAATGATTACATCAGTTTTACTGACGCAGATCACACACCATTTTAAATGTATATAGTCTGAATGTTGCTTGTTCCCTTCGTGCAGTGAGTTCATCGCTCAATTTACGATCAAGACACACTTTGTAAATACGTCAGACAGTTTTCTCCATATATTTCTTTCTGAACGTCACTCAAAAACGGTTACCACAGAAACTTGAGAGAAACAAACATGTACCCTCATTTTTCAAGCTGCGCTCGATAAGAATCGACGGAAATGTCTCAGCCAATGGCTGGACCCAACCTTCATACACGCACAGTTCAGAATGCTAAACAAAGAAGCTAAGCAACACGGCTAAGCGAAGAATCTATTTCTTCTCTTTCCTCCGGTATGCTCATGGTGTCCGTCCGGATCTGAAGGTCGGATGGACTGTTTTGTTAAAACAGTGCAGCCAAGAGCAAACTGCGGCCTTGAACGAACTTAACCTCGGATAACCATCACGCTACAAATGTTTTGATGTTTAAGTAAACATACACATAGTGGACGATGTGCTATTAGACGCAACTGTTGAGTGACTTCCATCGGCCTATTTTGTGTGATACGCGTATGAGGGGACGAGACACCGCCGTCAACTAGAATGATGTCGCGAATTCACTGAGATGTGACGGAAACTCGCTTGTATGTGTTTACCGTTACTGACTTCAAAGCCGAGTCACGAAGTTAGACAAAACAAACGCATACTAATCAGCTAACGTTGCGGACTGGAGGAACGGTGGTGTAATTTCTAATAGGCCCGCTGCATAGCTGCTTGATGGGTTGCTCACTCGGGAAGTGATGGCAGTCCCGCTCTGGTGCCTTTGCAGGAACCTCCAACCCGGTGCTTATCAGCCAACTTGTCTATAATGTCTGTCCACAGCTTTCGGACGCCACGGCCAGTACTAACGACTCTGCCAATTCAGTACACCATCTATCATTTAAAGTAGATAATCCTTGTGAAACGACTTTCACAGAAGATTTCGTTTAAAATGAATGCTCATTACTGCGTCCTTGCTTAAGGTAGTGGGTTGAAATCCATGGGTAATAGTGAACCAGTAGGTCTAATGCACTGATCGGGATGGCGGAGTTATCATTACTCAATATACTCCAACCTCAGTGAGTTAGACTTTTAGTATCATTATAAGTTTACGACTTACGGCAATCACTCAGTTTATGCTACATCCGTATATCTTTCAGATTGACAAAGATCCTGATGTTCGATTAGAACCCCTTCTGGTCGTGGGAGAGGTCATTCCTGCTAGAGCAGCATCAAAAGAGAATAAGTGGCCTCGGCATATGCCATACGAGTACCAGGATAAATACTTTCTGTTCAGTGAGTTGATCTATCTGTTACTTGGTTCTGCGGTGTGAGTGTATCGACGACAGAAGTTACTTTTTAACTTAGTCATTTTGTGAGCACAGCGGTTAGGTCCTTTTAAGCCTGTTTAAGGTCGGAACTGAAGTAATTTACTAAAATCGTAGTGGCGACAAAGCGTTGGTTCCAGTCAACCAATGAAGGCTAGTACTTTTTTAGAGTAACTTAATTAGCATATCACAGGTTTTGAAAGTGCAATTTCATTAATCGGGAACACTTTCTGGTTGATTGACTTTCTCGTCTTGGTGTTGCTGCCGAAACCACTTGGTCGGCCATGTAGCGACTCGTTATTCCCTTCTCGCTCGTTTCTTACCTTAGAATCGCAAGAAGGTTGTGTAAATAGTTGAAACAGTTTCACCACCATTGTCGGCCCAGTTGCATCCTCCGGAATATGGAGAAGCTGATAGCTGGGTACAATCGTGCCCGAAGATGTAGGTCGGATCATCCACTCCGTGATAAGCTTGCATGCATGAGGTCCCATAGTGGAACGGGCCGCCCTCAATTCACGTGTCTTCAAACTAACGATCAGTTACAGCGCGGTGTAACCCTGATGTTTATCACACGGAATGCGACCGCAAATTTGTAGCTTAATTGTGGATAAGTGTTTGTTTCTGCAAAACAGTTCATTGAATCATCTATATTTTGAAGATCTGAACCAAGCTTTATAATCGGCCGGAGTTGACTTGAACTGAGCTATTATTGGAATGCAGCTGCACTGCAGCTGATCATCTTTATCCCACTCCGTCGGCCAAACCAGGGCGACAGACCGTGATTGCTTGCCTTCGCATGTGTTCTCAATTGGTTATCGACAGGTCCATTTGTTTGAAATATGTGGGTCACAGCAATTTTTATGACCTTCCTACATTTTACAAACCAGTAAAAAGCTGGAGAGATGTCTGGACCTAGATTCGCGGCCTCTTACAAGGAGCGACATCTTTCTCTTGACTGTAAGACATCAGCAGTACGCCGGCACGCAGTACCGACGCTTCGCTGCCGCGCAGCCACTATCAATCGCGCATGGGCTAAGGATGCTGCGTGGAGCGCCCGGTGATCCTTAAACCCACTGGTTGGCCACATATAATGTCGAAGAGTTTAGTAAACCACTTGTCATACAATAAGTGTTCAAGTAGAAGCAGCAGTTATCCTTGCCCTAAGTAGACTGCATGGCAGCTTTACACATGACATATTTGGAGCATTCATCAAGAATGAGTGCGATACTGCCACTTTCTCCACGGTTTATGATCAGGTTAGCTTGAGTGAGCGCATTTTCTCAATGACTGCTTAGTGTGGCAATGCCTAAGAGAGGTTGTGCAACCACCTGGACGGTATAGTTGGTGCGTCTTTAAGTCGGAGTTTTGACGAATCAATTCCCTCCGGCCAGAAGGATAAGTCTCCCCGAGCTTCTAATTTATCCAAACAAACTGGTTGTGAAGGAACTGTAGAATATATTTAGAAGCGATGTAGAAGTAACAGTTTAGAGAGGTCTGAAAACGATCAGCTGGCTGGCCCCATATGTACACCAACCGATTGTTTCCAAAGGTTACCGAATTCTTTTTCTTAGGGAAATTTTGTTTGTATTTATCTTGATATATGCCGTGTAGACTGTTTCAACTTATCGCTGGTCATTTTCTTCCAACCTAATTGAATTAATTCAATCATATTGCTGCCGCTCCTCGCATGAAGTGGGCGTGTACTACCGCAGCCAACTCAGTCAGTGTATAAATCCCTCTCTCACAACTGGATTTATCATTCCGCTCGTAGTGCCCGGCAACATCACACCAATTTACTAACTGTGCATTCTACCATTACTTCTCGTAATACACATGTGTGCGCGCAGTGCGTACCGAAAATTGAGCATGTCTACTCTACTGTTTTCATTTCGTACAGTCTTCGCAACGCTTTTGTTTCCTGTGTACTTTCAATACATGTCAATTCGACACATCTTCCTCCGGAAAAAATGGGAGGTAAGTCTGCGCACAACGTTTTCGAACTGGTAGTAAAAATGTAGACATAACGCAACGTGAAACTCTGTACTAGCTTTTACACGTGAATGAGGTAATAATATGGCCACTTGGCAGATAGAATTGTTCGTTACAGTTGTCTTTCCAGGAGAGGACTTGTGTCATTCCTACCAGCTCTGTTACCCTCCATTTTGCACTCTAACACAGATGTACATTAGTTCAGATCTATGCATATTGTTCTTTGTACTCGTTTGGGGCTATTTAAGTGTTGGTTTCAAGCACAACAAAGTTTACCCTTTCTCCTTCCAAGTGCAATCTGCCGTATCCCATGTACTGCAACGCAATGGCTTTGCTTTACAGCCCATGGTTAGTATCCACACGATAGATCAACTCTGAAATGAAACGAAGCCTGTTCTTACTAACATAGGAAACCTCATCCACAAGATGACTCTGGATGCGCATAATATTTCTAGTCTTTCCTCTTTGAGAGTTATCGGTTTTATTGGTCAAGTCATCAAAAGTAGCAGATTCTTTCACTTTAATGTAGGTGACAGGTGCCGCTGTAAGCGCCTCAGGTGCTCACTACCCCATCTCATTATGTGCTGCTGAACTTTATTCTCTGTCTACGTGAGCGCTATGGTGCACAGGATGTGATAAGTATAACTCGGAAACAAGAGGTAATTTCTGGGCCCAGAATAAACGATCAACTCCGTCAGTTATTGCAATGCAAATATAGACAACGTTAGTTCCAAAGTACTCCCTGTCCGAAGAAATAAGCGACAACAATGTTGGTCATAGACAAGATAAAATCTTCCAGAAGAACGTAAGCATGATAATACCTCACGATTTATATCGGGAAATATTTCGCTGTATTGTATCAAGTGCGTACTGCAGATTGCGTGCAAACATATGTACATAGCATCATAAACATCTGGTATATTTGAGAGAGCACATTCACCAAAGGACATACACCGACACGCACATAGACAACCGCACACACACACACTTGTTCGTTTGTCAGCTGGCCTACTACTACTAGGCCGATATTCATGAGATCGGATTCCCTGTTAAATTTCTTGGATTCATCTACATGGAAGCATAAGACACAGAACGCGTGCTCGCGCATCCTACAATTGTCTTCACAACTACAGAGGTACTCTGAACTGAAAGTCGACAGTTGGCATTCAGAAGGCCAGATGTCATTTGAACTACCTCGAGAAGTTTGTAAATAAGAGCTGTTAATACCACTTCACAGTCCATGTTTGAATGCGAAACGGATCGGGCGTTTGAAGGATGTGCAGTGCGCGGTCATTTTGACACGACTACTTCATCTTTATCTTTTCATCGTGGATACGCTTGTGTCTCTAGGTTCACCGACGCGTTTTCCCTGATCCTTCACACTCGCTATATCGATCCTCCAAAGCTGTTTTTACCGAAACGTCCTTCTTCAACCTACCTTCCGCTAGTGTTATTGTGACGTTTCTAATGGTAGAATTCTCAATGGTTGTATTTTTCAATTTCGTTTCAGGACATGGCCTGGGTTTCTCTCTTCTTCATCAAGTTGTTCATATTGTATTATCCCCTTTTGGGCTTCTGGGGCTCCATAGGTTATTTAATGACATTCCGGTGAGTTAATATGTTGTTATCTCTGGACACAAACTCGGTGTAAAGCAACGAATTTAAAGTGCATGCGATAATTTACTGGCTCTGCCTTACGACGGTTTGCCCAAATAAGCTGTCGATACACGGATGGACAGCTGCAGATCCGTTTTGTTTCTACATTAACGTAAATTACCCAATCCACATCTCATCACAACTGACGTGAGACTAGGCACGTAAAAGCGGTTATCAGAGACCTAGTGTTTGAGTTAGCCTAACGTTTCTTCTTTTTCTAGCGAGATTGATCATTTGCGTCCTAGTGGCTACTTCCCAAGTTAATCACACTTCAACAACCAGGGTGTGGAGTTTTAGTCCAGTCATACAGTTTTAGAGACTAATGGAAGGATGGAGTTAAAATAAATTTCGAAGGTGTTCAACAGAGTTGGCATGGTCAAAATACCTCTGGTGTTTCCAATAGTACGGCTGAGGAACGGGTTTGAATTTGAGTACGAGCGCCATCTGAATATACGTGCGTCAATTCCCACGTGTCAAATACGCGTAAAATGTTCAGTGTTAAGCTGTAATACACTTGGCAAACCTTTCTGGTGGATGTCGTTCTTTCACTTCCCATCTACAGGAAATGTAATGGAACACGATTACTCACTAGAATAGAGTAGTTATGCGATGTTGGTACTAGTGCGGTCTTAGAGGACACAAACTGCCCCTAGCCCTTGTAGCACGATGAGTCTTTCTACACGCGCCTCTCCTCATAGAACAGAGCATTGATGGGCCTTCGGAATAATTGTCCCTTGCACCCAGCAGTTCCATGCACATAAAAGACCTCTTTCGCCCATACTCTTTCCGCTGAGTTAGTCGTGCCTGAACGCTGATTAAAAGGTTCATAGTTCTTCATCCTAGATCAGTCCCAAACCTCCATTCAGTGGTCCCAGTTGATGATAGGATATTGTTGGGCTGCTTATGACGTTATTCGGAAGATTTGCAATTCGGAACCAAAGTTCTCAACGCTAAGAAGTCGATTGTTTAAATGATACGCTTTGATTCTCTTGGAAAACGGTCCAGCAAACATGCTCGTTTGCGGTGATTTACCGTCAGGCCAACTACTACACAAATAGTTGAGATAATAAAGGGCGGATTGAGTCACTAGAAAATGATAGTGTCCGAATGCTAAAGTGGGTGTGCTTTGTTCACGCGAAGCTACCCGGACGATAGCTGCTCATGGTAAAGCCAAAACATTGACAAGCTCCTTATGTACACACCACCGGGGTTATTGAGACGAATCGCGCTCGCCTCCTCCAATGCAAGGATTCGGTATCTGAGACGGGAATTAGTCACCATTTGAAACAATCTCCGATTGGTTGCGCAAAATGTGTGTCGACAACATGTAATATAAACCGCAAACCTTTCGCCATATACTGATGTTTGTGTTGTTCCGAAGCGCACTTTGAATCCCAGAGACATGTGGGCGCATCACTCACCCGTCTTTTCACTTCCCCCTTCATCTCTAACAAAACAGCTCCCACTTTTCATTGTTATGCAAAACAGAGTTAAAACTCTCATTTGATATATAACTGGCTTGTAAACCGCTTTCTCTTGCTACTCATCATGATGACCTGGTCCATAGTCAAGACATATGATTGACATCAAAATGCAGACGTTTGTAATAGTCGGTTGCCCACTTCTCGGCTGTCTCTAAGGCCACTTACTACTTTGCCTACCAAAACCTTGGTTTCTGGTATTAGTAACGGTGCTGTTTTGCACAACAAAAAGGTAGGTACACCGACACAGAGGAGAATACCTTCCATAGCAAATTCCAGCACAGTGCACAACTATCTGCAATATTTTAACCTGCCTTTTAACTGTCCAAAGCTTTGTTCAGTAGAGCGTTTACGAAGTTGGCGTTGCACATGTGGTCCACTCTAACAGAAGATTTTCGGAGCCAACCCCGTCCAACGCGTTGGCGTATCACGTGCGGCACCGATGGCCTGGTCATCTGTGTTGCTCTGTCCCATCCCTGCACCCCATGACCGAGCGGGGACTGGAACTCGACACCTAGTGCTTGGCGGCTATCGTCATGATCACTAGGCCATTGAACCCCCTCGATCCATGCTTCATTTTTGCGAAACACAAACTCACGAGCAGTTCCCCATGAAATGAGTTTGCCATTCATCGCTTTTTAGTTCATCCAGCCTGGATTGACAAAGGTCACTTCTACTCAGTTCAGACATCACTTTATGGAAAACCAGCTACCAGGCCCCATGCTGAATGTTGTCCACTGTCCTTTAAAATATTAGGACACGTAATCGAATTTTCGTATGGAACGACATAAAAACTGAGGTAACGAGCTGCAAGCCACTCAGAGGGAAAGTACAAATAGCACTTGCCATACTTATAGATTGTTAAGCTGTTTTGCAATGCACTTCATACAAAGATGCCCTCCAAAGCGATCTCCGTTACTTTCTGATCAGTAAGAGGATTTTTGGTGAAATTATAATGGTTCATCCCAGCTGCTTACAAGCTAAATAGGCTAACCCTAAATTGGGAAAGGCACCAGGCAATCGTTCCGTCCCATTAATGCTCCTCACCGGAGCGGAGTGTGCCAAGTTGACAGCGATTTATGCTACTGGTGCATCCCGACTGCCTGGCTGGGGTCCTAAGGACGGTGAACACGTTTGGTTGGACACACTTGCTGATATGCCTCGGAGCCGGCACCAATGGCGTTTGTGTTGTGATTTCCTTTGTCCATCCCCTCTTGTTTAGCATCCCCTCCAATCACGATCTCGCTTGTTAGGCATAATACGACTCTCTTTGACAGCAGCCAGCTGTTAGCTCTCCGGAACGATGTCCATCCGTTACTGGGGACTCAGCGGGTGTGCCACTGTTTTCCTTTTCTTGTCCTTTGTATTGCGGCACAATGGCTGAGGTGTTTTCCATCTCCAGCTAACGTGTAATGATGATGATGATGATAAAGGGGGCCGGATCCAAAACGTCATAGCTTACAAGCTAAATGGGATACAGTGCAAACCATGTTATGCTCCTATGCGGGTTCTTATGATTGCAAGGAACAGTGGCTGGCCTCCAAAAGTCACGACCCACTACACGGAAGCTGGTTTCGCATAGCATTTGAAGAGTGCGTTGTCGAAGGTTTGATCGCTAATGAATAAGAGACTTTTCGCTTCATTCTTGTAGAAGAGCTATTTTCGTCCCAAATGTGCTTCTACAACCTCAACAATCACGCCTGATGGCATCCGACTGTTAACATAATGCATAGATGACTCGGATAAACTGTTTCTAATGACCTGCATAATTAGAGACTTCAATGCACATTTTCGTGACATTTGTACACCCCTGCCTACCATCCGAATTGAGCAGTTTCAAGATGTATGGGAATTCTATTGCATGGAGCCACTCGAACCCATCGCCGAACATCAGCTACAACTGAACAGTGCTCCTAATGGCTTTTTAGATCGACACTTGAATCCCTAATGGTTTGAAATCATTAGCTGATCATTCACTGTATGTCTGAATTGTGGCATGTTATCTCGATTGAGACCACGGTTTGCTTTGGTTCAAATCTCTGACATTTAGATCACTATGACTGCATCCCAACGCTGCAATCTTGAGAGAGAGCATCGCTGGAATACTGCACTTCGGATGCGGTTCTAGTGATTGAAATTGCAGTTGGGTTCAAAGCGCACCGTGGCCTCAATCGAGTTTGCATACCGCGATCCAGCTACAGCTGGTACTTGTTATAATGCGGTACCCACAATCGCCCGGTTGGTCTGCGCCTGCTGGTAAATCTGCGCCCTTACGTCTACTGTGCTTGACGCCTTGTACAACCCGACAGGAAGGACAACAGAAGGTCATTCAGCCGACCAGAGTTGTATAAGAATCGAGAACGCTCATATCTATATCTCGGTTTCACCAATCCTCTAAACACCACCTGGCGGATTTTGCTACCTGTCTTCCTCGTACGCCCACGCCCCACACTTGACCGTCCGCTCCGTCTGGCCAGCTCACCGTCTTACTCGGGAACACCAGCCTTCATCCGCCTATCCGGGGCATGGTAATTTACATGAGGTTTAATGTGCGATTTCATCAGCTTTCGGCTGGTCCGTGGCAAGACGCTCGCGCGGTCTGTCCCAAGCACACTTTGTGGCCAACACGCGCGCGGTGGCAATTCGCTTTCGCGCACATTTGCCACCTCCCTTCCCAAATTTTGTCAGCCTGCAAACCTTTTGAACCTGATTTTGTTCGTTGCTTTTCGCTCGATGATCGATTTGCAGCCATTGTGATCTTCTCCGCTTCCGAGCCAGCCTGCCCTGTGCCTCTGATGTTTGCAGCATTTGCTGTGTCTCACCGGGTTGCTGACCCTTAACTTCCGGCCCGAAGGTGTCTTGTAGAATGTCCCAATGCAGAGCTGGTGGTTTTTGGGGACCTTGGGTTTGCCATGGTTCGGTCTAAACTGATTGATGTGCCTAATCCACCTCTCATGTCTAACCATCACCTCGTAGATAACTCTGCCCTTCCAGCCGATTACAGTTCCGCTCGACCAGCCTTTCGGCCTACGAAAATCCCGCGCGTAAACCATGTCACCAACATTGACTGACTTTGTGAGCTTTCTCCAGGTGACTACTCCCGTGCTTTTCTATTCTCCTTGGTAAAGAATTATCGAACATCGCCCGGATCTTTCTTCTAAATAGTACTTCTGTGGGGATTTCCCTTCAGGAGCGTTTAGGTTCGGCGCTTTCCGATACATGCATAGGAAGAATTGAATTAGATCCTGTTAAGCTCTTCTTCTCCCTGCTTTAGAGTGCACGTTTGAACACACACACGAACCTTCCCGCCTGTTCGTTTGATTGCGGATGATATGGTGATGAAAACATCTGCTGAATTCCTTTTTCCTTGCACCACTCGCGGAAAGAAGTTGAGGCGTATTGTGTTCCATTGTCTGTCACTAACATCTCTGGAGGCCGAAATATGGAAACAGCTTCTCCAGCTCATTGACA